GTCAGGTAATTATTCGTGCGGTAAAGGGAACCAACCATTTTATCTGCATATAGATCGTATGAACATTTTCCACTTGAGGTCTGGTGTGAATTTAAGGCCCAATAGTATATCAAGGCACGGAGCTTCCCGAGGGGGGGGGTTCCATTCATCGTGACTGGTGGTAGTTCGAATCCAATTTGTCTCCTTACTATTCCTCTCGGTTCCTGTTCTACTATACGTTTATTCAAACTCCTTAGAGAGGATACTCACTGTTTTCGTCCGTCTCTCTATGCGTTCATTATGACATGCGACTGTTAAATTCTTCAAACCTTCTTTCCTCATTATATGTCTGTTATATTGGAATAAAGTGTCGCTGCCGACACTTGAGTTTGAATATAACTCGCCAGTGAGCAAACACTGGCGATACCATTATTAAATTAAGTAGACCACGTGACCATAGAGGAAACATATAAGTAGGAAGTGGTGTGACGTCTAATTGATCTCTATTTCTAATCTATCCTCTATTACTATACGGATCACCATTTCTAGTCTATCCTCTATTACTATTAGAATCGCTATTTCTATTCTAACCTCTATTACTATACGGACCGATATCCTCGACTCTATTCACTATTCCTCTATACGGATAAATATTCGAGCGAGTATTATCGAGCAAGTACTATTAGTACGAGATTATTTGAAGGCGTCTGACACCAGTATTGTTCAACGGTGTTTCTATAGTTGTATCTGCGATTAAAAAGTCTCTACTAAAACGAACATTATGAAAGTGACAACGAGTATTCGTTGGCATCACAAAAATTGCAACATCTGTTCGATGACATCACAAAAGTCTACTAGAAATTTTTCTATTCTAAATGTAAGTGTTGTTTATGTTTCCATTTTTCTTAAAACTTTCACGTTGATCACATCGTCCGTATTTTGCATTCTCAGCATCTTTCTGTGGAGCCACAACCGTATTGCTTTACGTCTCCTCTTCATCTGTATGGAAATAAGTACTAAACTTCTGTGTAATATCGATCCATCATGTCGAGAGTTATAAAACGGCTAGAAATGTAATATTATACGTGCGGTTCGTTTTACAGAAACGGTTCGAGTTTCAGAAGCTGATACGCGCATGCGTGTTTGCAACAACAAACCTCTTACATTCCACGCAAATTTCGCTCACACACTCTTGTTATTGATATGTTTATATCTTATTCACTGTTGCTTCCCACACAATTCATCACTTACCTCCTCTCCCGAATTTTGCACACTTTATCTCCCAACTACACAAAAATGAATAAATAAATCTATAAAATTAAATTAAAAACGAAAACAAAAAGAAAGACACAGAAAAATAATATCCGATGATTTATGTCCGCAATAAATAGAACAGATAAAATTAATTAAATTTATTTCCTAAAAGTCAATTTTTTCGTTACCGAAACGCAAGAATTCTTTCCTTTTGTCGAAAATCTACAGAAGGCATTTCCTTAATTATTTCCTCTTTGATTCTGGATATTTATTTTGATAAACGTAGCGCGTCACAAGGTTAGATATTTCGATAAGCAAATGATGGCAAGAAGCGTATTTATCGCCAATAATTCAAGTATAGAGTTCCTGCTTACCTAGAAAAATCAACACTTTATTATATTTACGAAATCTGATCAAAAAATGTCGGGCTGTTGCTATGGTAACGTATCTAAAGCACGCAGAGAGAAGCTGCTTGGCAAAGATTGACCTTGAACACTGTCGCGCATACATCCTAAGTTATAATGTTTTCGTTCAATTCTGTTGTTTATAGGAGTGCTTGGAAGGGAAGTGTGTAGATTGTGGTCATCTCAACAAAGATTCCATCAGTGGCTTGTGCAGATATTTCTGGCCAAGTAGAACATTCCCCAGGTCCGGCAACCACAATATTCCGTCGATCTGGCCTCTTACGACCTTTTACTCTTCGAAGAACAAATTTACTTGAAAGGAACAAGATTTCAAGACGCCGAGGCAATTGAAGAGAATGTGACGAGGCAGCTGTTCTCTACGGCCAAAATGGAGTCCTAGAAATTCTTCCAAGAATGGGAACGACGCTGTGTGATTTCAGGGTTCGACTTCAAAGGAGATGCCCAATTGATATGAATTGTAGTTAGCTTTTTATAGCACAAGTCCCGATAATTTTTCATCAGACCTCGTATTAAGAGTTATTAAGATGTTCGTTACAAGACCAACAGTCAAAATGAGAATGAGAAGATTGTATTGCGCTAATATTTGAACTAAGGAGTAATTGTCTTTCTTATAAATAACTATTGGAATTCTGGAGTTTTGATATTTACTATGTGATGCGTGTGAGGACTATCCTTATTTGAACTTCGTGGATTGGCGCTACAAAATCACAAAGAACTGTAGCAAATAACAGAATCCACATCAATTGAGGACAAACCAAACACGTCAAGAACTAAAATGGACAGCACATGTAAATCGAAGAGAAAATAATAACAAAATCTAGATGTTGATCCCTCACTACTTCAAACAAAAGATTAGGAAGGAAACCCCTATCGTTACTGGAAAAGGCGATAGCAGCTTTCCAGACTCGAGACCTCGTTTTCCTGAAAATTCTTTTAATAAAAAGGTTTAATAAATTTGCTTTATAGTCAATTCACTAAATCTTTTGATTTTTCCTCTGGTAATTTTAATGGATACGGCATTTTCCTGAATATTTTATTTGTAAAATTAGAATGTATTGCAAATCTTCACAACCGTTTTCTGAGATTAATGGTTATAAATGGGATTTATGTGAATTAAGCCTGTAGGTCTTAGCAAGGAATATTCTTTTTCGAACCTTGTAGACTGTCACTACAGAACCACAAAGAACTGTACCAAATAACAGAAACCATATCACTTGGCTATGCCATGTGATGCGGTGTTTCATGCGAGGATTAAAGTAAGTTTAAGGATTTTGGGTAATATCAGCTTAGCAATTGTTCTCCATTGTTGTTTGAAGTTTCCATTTCAAAGGGTGATGTCTTCTTATCACTAAAGAAGCAATGACGTTTAAAAATGCTTGAGGTAGGAATTAAAATCTACATTAATGCACGGTGTCTGTCTTTTTTTTTTATCTAATATACAAATTTTACTTAATCCTGTGTAGAATTTATCTTTTTCAAAGGCAGCGCTTTTTTTCAGTTGGGGCATAAGTTGATATCACTCGGATCTTACATTCATGAACAACAATTTCGGCAGCCAACGCTCTTTCTGACTGATGTACGATATTGTCTGTTACAATATCTGATGACTTACTTATTTCAGCTCCATATTGTCTGTTTGTTGTGAAGATGAACACACCTATCTAGAATAGGACATGGACTCGTCTAAATACATATAGAAGCCGAGAATCGCCAAGAGACGAAATAAGCAAATAAAGAGTATAATATTTAGCATATCTACTTACTATCTATTTCAGCAAGACTACGTCGATCCAAGCGACCTAATAGTTCTTGATTGTGTTGTCTTCATTCAATGCCATGAAGACATAACACTTTTCTCTTTGTAACCAGTTCAAAATAAATTGTATCTTAAATGCGCAATGGAATCATCTCCAATTCGACGGACCGATACAGGACACTTCAAGGTTTGCTTTTCTGCATTATTCTAAAAAGCAGTGCTCTCTCTGAAATCATCTGATCCTGACTAGACGTTGGTTTAACCCATTTTTCATTTGAAGAACTTTTTAAGTTTCCATTTTGAGCTGATGTTGACAAGTGAAGTGGCCGATTACAATGGAGTGTAGAAAAGCTTGTTGAGTAGCACTGGCTGCTAGGTCAGCAAATGCGGAGTTGTTTCTTATAAAAATCGACTATATTAACATTATCATTACAGATAATATTAAACATGATATTACACAGATACCACAGTGAGTATCTGCTTCCCGCCCCACGCTAGCAGGTTGTCACACATAGTCAGTTTAATGTCGGTAGGCCGAGCGCGTACACCCAGTCCAGGTACAAAAGTAGCCCAACCCCGTAAACCATTTGTTCTACTGGTATCGTTATTACTACCGTGGGCAGCTGTTACCCTGAACCGGGCACGTCTCAATATTTTTTCAGTTGCGCTTTGCCCGAAGCCAGGAATACAATTGAGATATAAAATGTAGTTTGTCCGGCCGAGGGCAGATAGTACACTTTTATCCTATTCCAAATGTCTAGGGAGCGAACAAAAGTGTACCTCGAATAACACTGACTGTTCGTTGTCAATGAATGCCGAATGTTGTCTTATAAGAAAATGGCTAATATTGTCGTTACCATAATCAGGCCACAGAAGGAAAATAAAGAAAATAAAGTGAAATAGGATAGAAGAATTGTCCTGGCCTTTTGAAGTTTAATCAGCTTAGGGAGATATTGGGATAAGGAAATTATGAGCTAAAGATTCTGCGATATTTTTTTCTTTATTCTAAAGCCTGCTTCGATTTTCTACGAAACAATTTTCCCTTCTTATTCGTCTCTTATTGTTCTCTGTTATTGTTTTTCTTAATTTTTTTTTATCTTTCCTTCGCTATTCCTCTCTCTGCTTCATATTTTTCCCTCCTTCCGTTTGATATTCCTCTTCTCCTTTACATTTTTATTTTTTCCTCGTTTTATTCTTTTCTACTTCACAATTCTTCGTTTTCTCTTCTTTATCTACACTTTCGTTACTTCTGATTTTCCTACTTTCTTTCCTTCATTCTTCCTTGCCTTCATTTTTTCGTTCTTGCATTATTGTATTCATGTATTAATTTATTCTTTTTTTTTTAGTTTCTTCCTCTCTTCCTTCTTTTCTTGCCTTCTTTTCTTTTCTTTTTTCGTTCTTTTATCATTGTATTCATTTGTTCTTTTTTTCTGTTCCTTTCTCTCTTAATTTCTTTCCTCCCCCTACTGATTGTCTCTCTTTCTGTATTCATTTATTTATTTGTTACTTTTCATCTTCTTTTCTTCTTTCCATTCTTCTTCATTTTATCCTTCTCGTATTCATATATTAATTCTTTCTTTTCTTAGTTCCTTCCTTCCTTTTTCTTTCTTTCTTTCTCCTTTTCTTCTTCTTCTTTTCTTCCTAATTGTATTATGGTAATATTCTAAGCGTAGATTAGATGTAGCACAAGGCTGAAAGTATGGGACACCCGGTGAGGATCGAACACACTACTCAATCCTAATTGTTCTAGCGAGACGGACTTGCTAACCATTGCACCACGTCGCGCCTCCTCCTTCCTTCCTGTATTCATTTAATTTCTTTCGTTCATTCGTTCGTTCATTCCTTCCTTTTATCCTTCTTCCCATCTTTATTTCGCTGTTTTTTCCTTACTACAACCGCCATTTTTACTTTTCTTCTACTATTCCTTATTTATTCATTCCTTTATTCATTCTTTCCTCTTTTGTTCGTTCGCTCTTTCCTTCCTTCCTTTTTCTTGTCATTACTCTTATTCATTGATTCGTTTTTATACTATTTTTTTTTCGATGAATGTTGTCTTTTCATTTTGAATGAGATTTCCTGTCCGATATTTACAGAGGTCACCACAGAAGTAGATTGATCGGTAATGATCAAAACTTGATTTGTTTGATCGGGTGGAGGGCTTCGTAGTCTAGCTTTAAAATCCTCTTTCGAAATCCTAAGTTCTGTTACTGATCTCCAGATGGTTAATGCTTTTATCGTTGATCCGGAGTTTGGTTCAGCATAGAGCCAAAATATAGAAAAGTGTAGAAACAAGAGTTCGCAATGTTAAATATTTGTTAAAATCATTTTTCCATCTAGAAAATCAACATTTGAAGTTTTAGTTTTTTGTTTTTGGATTTTTTGTTTTGTTTTTTGTTTTTGTTTTTATTTTTTTGTTTTTACCTAGGTTCGAATACTGGTTCTTTCAGGCTACATGCAACTGTCAAAATATACTCAATCTTTTTTGTTTCTCTTTTCTTCTTATCTTTGTTAGTTTGATTTTTTTTTTATTGCAAATTATTATTTTTTATTTAATTGTTTTGTCATTTACACTTGTCTGATTTCTTTCAATACTTTTTACGATTCTTGTTTTTTAGGACTGTTCAGCCGTGGGAACTATTATCCCACGAGGAATCAAGCAAAATATCAGATCAGTAAACAGGCAAAAGAAATGCTCAAAATAGACTAATGAAAAAAAAAAAGAAAGAAAAGAAATCGGGGGAAATGGTGACAGGTTAATATAGAGGTGATCGGGTCTAAATTTAAAGTAGTGGACGAAAAGTTGTTGCAAATTTCGAACGACTGAATTGGTTTTATCAGAAAATGATCAGCGATATCATTCATGCGTGAGGAATGAGAATGATACTGGAAGGCTTGAATCGATGGCAGACGACATACAATTGGATAATGAGCATGCGCAAGGAAGCAAAAAAAAAAAACATAAAAAAACTTCCCAACAAAATAGTGACATTAACCTTTAAATCCTATTATAAACGGATCATGAATTTGTCATAAAAATTATCACAAAAAACTACCAAGCAGGTACAGAAATATAACTATCTGGGGAAAATGTCAGACCGCGATAAGGAAGCTCATTGAAAGACGAATAAGATGAATACCAAAAAACTAAACAAAGAATCGGGAAATTTTCAATATCTGTCTATATTTCTGAGAGAGTAATGTAACTATTGTATATTATTTACGTCATTCCGACTGCTGTTCTCATCTTTATTGCCATTTTACGCTCCGACCATCTTGAAGTGATTATATAATGGAATTTCAATCAGAACCCTTTATTTAATCCACGTAGATAGATTCTTCTAATTCCAGATACCATGGCTTTTTTGAATGTTTCGGTATTAGTTAATTCCCTTTAGTAACTCAACTTTCCAAGTTTTTGTTTCCTCTGCTGTGGCAATGTGACACATGACACAGTGAATAAATGAAGGGTTCCTTTCGAAATTCCAGCCTATATAACTAATACTTTTGAAGTAGACGCCCACGTCAATACTTCCCTAAACGCTGTACTATTGACTTTTTGGCGTCAAGGGCAAATCATTATATGTCCTTCTATCCTCATAAATTTTACTTCTTAACATTTCTTACTTTCGTATCACACACATTATTCAGTAAACCACAATCTTGAGTGCCTCTCGAGGCTTGTAAAAATAAATTTATTAAAAAATTCATAAGTTTTATTGATCTAATTGATTGGTCTAATTAATAAGTTAGCTAGTTGCATATCCCATATTGGCTCTTGAGATCAGTTTTCAAACTCTGGTAAAAGCTAGAATATAGAAGGATTTCTTTTAAATCGGAGATGCAGACCCCACTTGCAAAATTAGTATATTACAATGATTTGTTGTCATTTAAAACCGCTTTAACTTTAATTACTTCACCGTGACACATATATTACGACAACTCGCCCCCTGAAGCAGTGATTAGCTTAATGAAAGTATTGAAACATTACTAATCGCTCCATACTTATAGCCTTGTACCAAACGATGGTAAAATTACCGTACGTCTTTCTTCATATATCACTAGGGCGTATAAGAGTCAGTTAAAAAACAGATGAATTCAAGGGGAAAAATAAAATTATCCCGTATAAAACGCAACTGATTTTAGAGCAAAGAAAATGACTGAAATTTGTGAAAAAAGAAGATAAAAAATGAAAAATAATTGGACCTAGTGTTTATTTTTGTAATTCGTCGGCATGCGAAAACGTGATAATGTCTACTGGGCTATAAGACCACTAATTCACCAATACACATTGAGAAAATAAATGGTAAATTAAATAATAATTTTCCTTTGACTGATTTTCAAACTCATGTAGGTGAATAGACTCCACGAAATCCAAAAGATAGAAGGTGGAAAGCGTACTGGACTTAGAAAAACATTATGAAATATTTATTTCCCTGTGTTGCAATATGCCATTAGATTATTATCTCTCTGTTAAACAAATAAATCCAATTTGAGCCGATTTTGGCCATTTTGAGTTCTGGAAAAATGGGATTCAGTTCTAAGCAAAAGTATAAAACGCAGCAGATTTTGGGACACTAGTTTGGGTGAAAAATCTGTCTTATACACATAGGACTACGATAGTAAAGGCGACAATTTTTCGTTATACTTAACTGTTGTGTGCTAAATACAGCAGTTAAATATGGCGGACGATTGTTGTCTTCATGTTTAGAGATTTTTCGCATTCTATCTTAGTGATTTTGTTGCCTTTTAGTTTAGTGATATTGTCGTCTACCATTTTAGAGACTTTGTCGCCTTTCACTCTGCAAAACCAGACATTTAAGGTCATGCTCGTGATCTAACTTTCGTCGATCGACGAATGAACTCCAAAGAGTTGCCGAAACGCATTGCATATATTCAAGCAACATGTGGAATTATTGAACAATCTGAACGTAAAAATGTTTGAATATCAACCAAAATAAAAAAAAAAAAATGTATTGTGGACACATTCAATTTTGCTTTGCAGATTTTCGGTGTTGTATTAGTCATTTTTGAACGACTTGTCATTGTTATTTTATCATGGTGATGCCATGAAAAATGTAGATATCAAACAATAGTCTATACATCAGTGATTCCCGTAGAAGAAATTTAAGATACCAAAATCAGCACAACAAGTTATGGCCACTGTTATTTTATGGATAAGGAAGATATTTTGATAACTAGATATCTAGACCAAGAATGACGAATCAGTTAAGGCATAATACAACTCTAAACTTGACCTGTTGGTTATAGGAAGTAATGGAAGGAAAACAGTGAGAGAAGCTGCCGATACCTATCTACTTTTGCCACATAAATGGCAGAGATGTCAAAAGGCAAGAGTATTTTGAAGCATTTTCTATTTGCGCTCCAAGGTCATCTCAATTAATCAGCTGGTCTTGTTATATCTGAAAATTTCCTATTCCCCAAATTTATTTCGTCGTAGTCGGCTTGATCTCGCATCCAAGAATTTAATTTCTTTTTTTCTGATCGCTTCCTTTATGATGATGTTGTTGATGAATATATTCACCTCCAACGTGCATATTCAGGACACGAAGTTTCCAGTTTCACCAAAACCTGCTCCCGTCATTCCTATCGCCGCTTGGCATTGCAAGAGTTATTTGAAGATGAAAGAACATCAGAGTAGAAGAAAGTGCCGATGACGTGGTTTGTTTAAGGTGAACCCCAACTTGACAGGACATGACGTAAACACTTGATTTCATGTCCTTCCTCTGCGGTACATAGTTAATGAGACATCGAGAATCCAATTATGAACGGCAAAAGAACTACTGTTGACTCTGTTATTATTTCGAGTGGCGCCTTCTGTAGCATGTCCGTCACGCGTAGACCTCTTTATCCGCTTGTTCAACCGTTGAGATCGAAAAACTTATTTACACTATTTAAATTCGGACTATGATCTTTGTCATTGTTGTTACTACCATAACATTTCAGCTATTTTGCTACCCGACTTTTATCAAGTGTGTATCGATCTAAATAATATACTGGGAATTCTTAACAGAACTCTTTATTTAATCTATGGGCTTAGACTGTTCTCGTTCTACTGCCCGTGTCTTGGGATATATTTCTTATTTTCAGTTACTGCTATGTTATTGCCCACAATATTTCCACTGAATAGGCAGTTCTCACAATTAAACTTACAGTTAGTTTGTCACCGAATTCACGAATCAAAGCTTTAAGTTATAGGTTATAGTCCCGTGGAACAGATTTCTGTAGAGAAAGTGGAGTTTTAAACCTAGACTGCCTGCTGATGATGTTTGTCATGTTCATGTTCCAAAATTTAAAAGTACTTTGATAGAAAACGTTCAAAAGCTTTGGATGTTATAAAAGCAGTAGATTAGTATTTCAATGACTAATCGTCAAAATATTTTGAATATTTTAACCCTTTCTCCATCAATTATTTTGGAAAAAAAAAGATCCATTATTCAGAAAAATTTTTTTATTTGATTTAGATATATTAATATAGTTGATAGACCCTTGTGGAGGAGATAGGGTGTGGCTTCTGCATTCGGATTCCCCCCTACGATTACAACAGTCAAGGAGATTATGATGATAGTAACTAAGAAGCTGTATTACCCACCCCTCGGGTACTTCAAGATATATGGGTACGGGAACGACCAGACGTATGATAGTTGGACTCGTTTCAAGATCAGAAGGGCATAAAAAGGAAGACCGACGTATAAACACGTCTGTAGCTGATTTTTAAAAGTCATGTTTTGGAGGTGTTTATTCGTCTCAAAAACACACTTTCGGTAAAGATGTATAGACATGTCTACACCGGGGAAAGAGGTGTTAAGAAGAGAAACAGCACTTTCATCAATTTGAAATAGCATTGTTTCATTTTCTAATCAACGAAAGTTTCCTTCTTATTGGATGGAGATATATTATTATCGATTACAGGATAGCTTTCATTGGAGATATTATTGTGATCTCATACTTTTTTTTAACAGGAGATAGTGTAGTGATATAAGTGTTTTGCATGCAACACGTCGATTATTAGGGATCGGGAAGTCTCTCGTAAGGAAAAGGAGACAAGCTCTCCCGTTCCTGTGAATAAACTGTCAAAGAAGAAAGAAAGTTTGTGCC